GACGACACTGTTGTCTCCGTGCTGTAACACTACGCCGCTTGTCCCGGCTCTCACTCCTTCACTCAGGAAACCTGTTCGGCTGTCCCCCCCCCGGGGCGGGACACCTGGCGCCTGAACAGGGACGGGACACCCAACAGGATGGAGAAATGGAAGAGAAGGGATTGAGGTATGATTACACCCCAGGAGGATTCTCTCCCCCCCCCGCCTTTCCATCTCTTCCTGGTGAGGCAAGGGTTTTGTGACTGTTCTTAAGCACTTTTTCCTTCAACAACAGCCTGTCTTGTTGCTGGGTTTCCCAGTTCACAAAATGTCTGGGAATCTAACTCACCAGATGGAATGTTTCAACAAACGTCTCCTTTTGTCCCCTGGGTCCTAGAGAGAGTGCAGAATCCTGTAGACCTGTGTGGGTGCCCTGGTGTTCCCAAGCCTCAGTATCCCCACTCCTGTGTCCTGGCAGCTGCGGCAAGGTGTTGAACGGGTGTAAGATCTTGCTGATCCACCAGGACAAGGACGGCATCGGGGAGGTCTGCCTATGGGGCAGGAACATCTTCATGGGATACCTGGAAAGAGAGGATATGACAATGGAGGCCATTGACGAGGAAGGCTGGCTACACTCCGGGGACTTGGGCAGAATGGACAACCTGGGTTTCCTCTACATCACTGGTCGCATCAAAGGTACCGGGGGCTGAGCTTTCAGTGGTCACCTGCATGCCAGCCCACCCTCCACACTTGCTGTCCAAAGAAAGCCCCCCACACTCGCCACCTTCCACCAAGGGGTGTGTAGGGATGCCCCAGTCTGCACAGTTCAACTCTATTCTCATGCCCAGCAAAGAGTCACCTCTTGGGTCAGCAAGTGGCATGAAAGTTAAGGCAGCTAGACCCCACACGGTCAACTGTGCAGTTCGAGTTCAGGTCCCAGCAGTCTGAAACACACACCAGGTACATGTGTCTGCATGCCCAAAATCCCAAGAGGAGAATGGAGAAAGGACTGCAGTGTGACTATTTCCCCAGGGGTGCTTTCTTTCTCTCTCTCCACATACCGTACAGCAAACTTAAAAAAAAAAAAATAGAAAAGAAAGAAAAGAAAAGAAAAGAAAGAGAGAGAGAAAGAGAAAGGAAGGAAGAAAGAAAGAAAGAGAGAGAGAAAGAAAGAAAGGAAGAAAGGAAGGAAGGAAGAGAGAGAGGGAAGGAAGGAAGGAAGGAAGGAAGGAAGGAAGGAAGGAAGGAAGGAAAGAAGGGAGGAAGGAAGGAAGGGAGGGAGGGAGGGAGGGAAAGAAATCACCCCCTGGCCATTCTATACACACCACACAGTCCACCCTCAGGAGGAGGACAGGTCCAGAAATCTCCATGTCTTCCCCTGTGGTTGTCGTTCATCCTTGTCAAAGATGCTGATAATTAGCAGTGATAAGGATTACCCAAAAGGACTTCATGACCAGGGATCAGTCAACAGTTCCTGTAAAAGGTCCTGCAGTAAATATTTTGGGGTTTGGAGGACACATGGCTTTTGTCACTGCTACTTGACACTGCCCTGTGTAGCACAAAAACAAGTGTAGACAACACATAAATGAATAGGCATGGCCATGTGCCAATATAAATTTCATATAATTTTTCATGTCACAAATACCATTTTAAGAAATTTCCTTCTGGGGCCAGCAAGTGATAGAGTGACTAAGGCACTGGACTCCCACATGGCCAACTGTGGTTCAAGGCCCAGACCCGGTGACTTGAAAGGCACACCAGGGGCCAATGGGTGGAGTGGTGGTTAAAAGGCACTGGACACCCACATGGCTGACCATGGTTCAAGTCTTGAACCTAGTGGCTTGCTTTCCCTCTCTCTTTCTGTCTCTCTGATCCAATTGGAAATCTCTCTGTCTCTCTGATCCAACTGGAAAATACTAATAACTAAAGTTAAATAGTTCTTTTAAAAAAAAAATGGAAAAAGAAAATCACACCAGGCACGTGTGCGTGCATGCCCAAAATCCCAGAGAGAATGAAGAGGGATTGTGGTGTGGCCATACTCCCTGGGGGGTGATTTCTCATTTTCCCTCTCTCTCTCTGACAAGCACATACATCCTATCCCTCACCCCCCACAACAACAAAGAAAAAAAGAAAATCCCTTCCAGCAATTTTGTATGGTTGTGGTGGTTGTGGTCAGATCCATTCTGAGTCAAGCTTTGTTCCAGAGCTCATCATCACTGCTGGTGGAGAAAACGTGCCCCCCATTCCCATCGAGACCTTGGTGAAGGAGAAGATCCCCATCATCAGTAATGCCATACTGGTGGGAGATAAAGCGAAGTTCCTGAGCATGTTGCTAACACTGAAGGTGATATGGGTTTGCTGTCCTTTGGGGAATGTCTTTGCCCGAGCATTGGGAGGGTGCCCCTGCCAAGGTTGGGACCTGCTTCTTGGTCTCCAGGGCCTGGGGTATGGCGGGGATGGCTGGGGTCTATGTTGACAGGGATGTCCTGGGGCAGTGTGAGATCGATCAGATGAACGGAGAGCCTCTGGACAAGTTGACCTTGGAGACCATCAAATTCTGCCGAGGCCTGGGCAGCCAAGCATCCACCGTGACTGAGATTGTGAGGCTGCGAGACCCCCTGGTCTACGCGGCCATCCAGCAAGGTATAGATGCTGTGAACCAGGAAGCCACCTCCAATGCACAGAAGATTCGTAAGTGGGCTATCTTGGAGAAGGACTTTTCCATTCAAGGTGGAGAGCTAGGTAAGAGAGCTAGAGAATTGTGGCCTTGACATTGGGAAGCTGCTCCCTCAGTAGCATCTGGGACCCCACAGGCTCTCAGGAGATATGCCACTTTTTGGGGGTCTAAGGGCCTGTGGGACCAGCCAGGGATACAGACAATAGTCCTGCAGCTAACTGGTTTCCAGCTCCCTCTGACCACACACCTACACACACAGAGTCTCTTTTATCCAGAGCAGCCATGTCTTCATTAGGGAATAGAGTTCAAACTCCTTGCTGTAGCTCTGTCCTCTTGCTGACATCACCTTCCAATCACTTTGTCCCAACCATACAAGCTTTCTCCCTGTTCTTGCAACTCTTGGAACATGGTCCAACATAGGGCCTTTGCACCTGCTGCTTCCTCCACCTGAAATGTTCCTCCTCAATTATTTGCCCGGACGGCTCCTTCTCATCGTCCAGGTCTCACCCTAGAGGTCATTTCCTCAGAGCAACATTCCCAGGTTGCTCTGGGAAATAGCAGGCCATCGCCACTGCAGTATCAGCCTATCATCTTGCCTCCATTATGACCTCAGAATCTGCAACTATCCTCTGCAGGAGCTTATGTCTATCTCCCCATGAAAGATCATCCCAGGATGGGGATCCTGAATTCTTTCAATGCCCTTGCTTTGAGGCTTGCATTCAGTGCGCAAGCGTGAGAGGATGGTATGGATGGGAGTCAGAGCAAGGGCAAGCGGGCACTATTGAATAACTGGGTTTGAATCCTGTCCACTCCACATTGGAAAGTAACCTATCCCTCCATGCCTTGGTCTTTTCATCCATACATTGAAAACAGTCCTAATGGGGTTCTTCAAGAAGCCTTGAGGGGAGTCCAAAGGTCCCAGAGGCATTGAAGTCCTGGAATATAGAACACACACCAAACTTTGTTGATTCTTCCCTGCTGGGTGGCCTCAGGGTGACTGGACTTCTGTGAGCCCCCGTTTCCTCATATATAAAATAGAAGCAGTTTGCGATAGTGACAATCTCCCTCCTCCATTAGGCACATAGTCCATATCAGGCACAGAGATGTGTGCTCTCCACCTGCCAGCTCACAGTCTCCTCACCACAGCTCAAGGTCAACATGGAGGTCCTATAACCCCCATACACTGATGGGCACACCCAAGAAGTTGATGTGAAGCTGGGCTTCCAGCCAGCCCCAGCTACAGGTCTTCATCGCCTGGCCATGCACGGGGTAAGTGGAATTTTCTTTCATCTCCACAACTCAACCATTTTCTCCTCTCTTCACAGGTTCAGCGACAAAAGTTAAGAGACATTTCATAAACCAGAAATACAAAAAACAAATCGACAGCTTCTACTACTGACTGTTGTGGGGAGCTGCTCTTGGCTGTCCTGATGGTGAGATTTGGTTCCATGGCTTTACTTGGCTGTGCACTGAATGAGTCCAACAGAGGGCTCCTTTGTGTGGCAGGCAGGCCTGTGAGTAGAACTGCAAAAGACACATGGACCGAGGCACACACAGTTACAGTGGGTTCTAGGTAGTGTCTAGCCTCAACACGTGCTCTGTCAGGGTAATGACAGGCTATGCAAACTCCTTTACAGCTGGTCACCAATGTTGTTAGCTGTGCTTCTTGCTTTTCTAACTTATCTCAAGGAGGTAGAGATGCCATCCTCCTATCCAGAACCAGAGTTATTTTGTTAAACACCCAAATTTCATTGTGGCTTATTTGCAGAAAGCCTTTTGTTAGGAACTTGGAAGGGGGATGTTCTACTTGCTGGGAATCCAAGGAATGAGGAATGCTGGCATGTTACAGAGATAGTAAGAGATGGAGACATGATCTCCCCTTACCATTTCCTCCTTTTCTTTCCAAGACTTGTGCACAGGGAGCCTCCATGACACCATGAGTCACGGGTGGGAAGTCAGCTGGATGTATGGTATGGGGAGACAGTAGGCAGAGACATTCCATATCTCTCTCCTTGGCTTATGGATGGCCATCTTCCTCTTGTGTCTGTTCATATCATCTTCCCTCTATGTGAATGTCTGTGTCCCAAATTTCCCTTTTTATAAGGACACCAGCTATACTGGATCAGGACCCATTCTAATTACCTCATTTTAACTTCTATAATAATATGTTCTCCAAATAGGATCACATTCTGAGATACTGTGGGTTAAGACTGCAACATATAAATTTCAGAGGGGACACAATTCATCTCAAAACCACATTCCCTTTTTTGTTAAGTGGCTTAACTCTTCCGTGCCTTCATCTGGCAGTGTCTCGTGGGTGGGTCCCACAGTTACTTTAACACATCACATTCATCATTTTCCATCATTTACAAGATTTCCGATTTCACTTTGCAACTGAGGGACTATCAGCCACGTCAGTGAAGAAGGAAGACCTTCTGATCCAATAAGGCAACTACTGGCCATAGTGTGGCCCATTTGAGATATGCTTGCCAAATATACCAGATTTCAAACGACCTTCTGATCCAATAAGGCAACTACTGGCCACAGTGTGGCCCATTCGAGATATGCTTGCCAAATACACCAGATTTCAAACACTTACTATGAAAAAAAGAATATATACTACCTCATTAATATTTTAAAATGTTGATTACTTGTTAAGATGCTGGTATTTTTGACATATTAGGTTATGTAAAATAAAATTATCTTTACCAGTTCCTTTTTAAAATTTTAATTGTATTTGTTATTATTATTATTTTTAAATTTGACCAGAAAGACAGAGGAAAAGAGAAAGTGAAAAAAGCAAGCTGCCTGGTCCAGGACTTGAACTATGGTTGACCATGGGAGTCCAGTACCTTTACCACCATGACACCTGCTGGCCCCCCCAGTTCCTTTTTTAAAAAGTTGCTACAAACACTTTTAAAAATCACATAGGTGACTCACGTGACAATTTCTCTTAGTGCTGCTCTCAAGTTCATTGTGGTGAGATTTGGGGATGAGGGCCAACTTATAAAGAATCATTCACAGGACCAGCAGTTAGCGTAATGGCTATGTCACTGGACTCCCACGTAGTCGACCACAGTTCGAGACCCAGACCCGGTGGCTTAAACTCACGCCAGCGCATGTGCGTGCATGCCCAAGATCCCAAGAGGAGAATGGAGGAGAAGGGATTGTGGCATGGCCATCCCCCCTGGGGGGGGATTTCTTACCTTGTTTCTCTCTGTCTCTCTCTCTCTGTCTGGCGAGCGCATGCGCCCTATCGCAAAAACCTCTCCAAAAAAAGAAAAAAAAAAGAATCATTCACTGCAGAACATTTCTATTATATAACTGTGGGATATCAGAATATCAATACACATTACAAGGATTCTCAAGCAATAACTTACGTTTCTCCCTCTAGCTGCTAAGAGGAAAAACCCACTGATACAGGCAATTTAGTGGTCTGAGTAGGAGCTCTCTTTCCTGTTAAGCCAGATTCCCTGACAGTCAGTTTCTTGACTTTTGAAGGGGTCCTCCTAGCCAAACTTTCCATGTCTTTAAAAGTAACATAATTCATCATAGACTTTCTATAATCCTTTCAGGCATGATCCCAGGAAAGTTGACTGGGAGGTCTGCGTAAAGAACTACAAAGAAAGATCTGACCTGCGGGTGCCAATGGAATGTTCCCCCCGGAGATCTAATGAGACATTAGAAAGAAAAAGCCTACGCAACTTTGAAGAAATGGGCCCTAAACCCAATCACCTGCCCAGAAGCAATTTGGAAACCCTTCCAATAAGTTCTGATAATAAAGCACTTCAGCGTCCCATGCATGTCTTGATCATCGGCCAGATGGGAACATTTTGTCCTTTGGGTCATGTGGTGGAAAGGCTCAGGCTCTGAAATTAGTTCTGCGTTCAAGGTCTGAGTGGCTTGTGTGTGAGTTTAGGTGACTGAGGTTCTGAGGCTTTTAATCTGGGGGGGAAAAAAGACTCCCATTTCACAGGGTGGATAGTGTACAGAGAATGCAGTGTCCCTCAGAAATCCTTGGTACTACACATACACATGCTGAAATCATATGCAAAGATTCTTCCAAAAGTTCATGAAAATATGTAATATCATGAACTAACCATCAGTTTTGATTCATTTTGCACCAAAATAAACTCACATTGGGGGACCAGCAGTTAGCGTAATGGCTATGTCGCTGGACTCCCATGTAGCCAACCCCAGTTTGTGTCCCGGACACAGTGGCTTAAAACTCATGCTGGGCGCGTGTGCGTGCGTGCCCAAGATCCCGAGAGAATGGAGGAGAAGGGACTGCGGCGTGGCCATCCCCCCTGGGGGGGGTGATTTCTTTCTGTCTGTCTCTGTCTGTCTGGTGAGCGCATGTGCCCTATAGCAAAAAATATAAAAATAAAAATAAAAACTCACTGTCATTCATTTTCCTATGAACTTTACTCATGCCTCAGGGTGTGGGCATGTAAGACAGAGAGCATCTCGCAATGGAGTCATTGTGCAAATTTCTTTTCCTCCATTTCTCCATCCCATCAATATCCTAGGCACAAATGTGCATGCCTGGAATGTTTCTTAAGCCACCAGGGCCAGGATTCGAACTGTAGGCAGTCATGTGGAATCCACCTCCCTCTTCACAGTGTTTATTGCTCCAGAGGACCAACCCTTCATGAACTTTAGTCTAATGTTTTATTTAAACATTCATCCACCAATGGACACTTGGGTTGCTTCCACCTATTGGCTTTTGTGAATAATGCTAAAAAAAAGATTTATTAAAAATGTTTTTTCAAGACTAGCAGTTGGGGGACCAGCAATTAGTGTAATGGCTATGTTGCTAGATTCCCACATAGTCGACCGCGGTTCGAGTCCTGGACCCGGTGGCTTAAACTCACGCTGGGCGCGTGTGCGTGTGTGCCCAAGATCCCGAGAGGAGAATGGAGAAAGGATTGTGGCGTGGCCATCCCCCCTGAGGGGTGATTTCTCGCTTTCTATCTCTCTGTCTCTCTCTGTCTGGTGAGCACACAAGCCCTATAGCAAAAACCTCTCCAAAAAAAAAAAAAAAAAAAAAAAAGACTAGCAATTGACGCAATGGCTATGTTGCTGGACTCCCTCGTAGTCGACCGCGGTTTGAGTCTTGGATCTGCTGGTTTAAACTCATGAGAGGCACGTGTGCGTGCATGCCCAAGATCCTGATAGGAGAATGGAGGAGAAGGGACTGCATCATGGCCATCCTCCCTGGGGGGTGATTTCTTGCTTTTTGTCTTTTTCTGGCAAGTGCATGCACCTTATAGCAAAACCTCTCCAAAAAAAAAAAAGGAAAAAAATGTCTTCAAGTTTCTTATTTTAATTATTTTGGGCATATACCTTGAACTTGAATTGCTGGATAATATGGTCACTTTATTTTCTTGAAGAACTGAACAGGCGTATCAATGATTTCTTAGTTTATCAATCTCAGCATCTAACAGTAACTGAAAACGCAGTTGTACACACATTTGGGAGTCTTTCTTTCCTCTGTACAGACTATGCCTGGAGGGCAAATTAATTTATAAGCCCCTAGAACTAATGACTCAAAGTCCTTCTCTAATTCAACCTTTTGGGAGCTCAGAGCTCTGCTTCCTCGCCCTTTATGATGCCACATCTTCCTTGGCCACCTTCGTTTCATGACTCCTCTTCGGGCTTCCTTGTGAACTTGCTTACTAGAAGCCAATAATGCATAGTAGTGACTTGGAGTCCCTCTAACAGTTAGACTTGATCCCAAGACTATGGCCCTGCCTACTTCCTGGGTACTGTCCAATTGAAGACCACTAGATTATGGGGCCAGTGAAGGGCCCTCTTGGGTAGACTCCTCCCTACTCCTAAGAATGAACTCTGCCAAGCAGCAGAGGGTTCTGTTGCCATCCTGGCTTTGGGTTGCAGAATCCAGTGATGTCACAAGGCCAGGTTGTAGGCAAGAACTTTCTAGATATCCGGTCTGGAGACTGCTGTGCTCTGCTACAGCTTAAGCAGAGGGTCTGACAAAGCTGATAAAAAAAAGATGGAGGCAGAAGTGGGCATGACTCTTGCAACGACAGAGAAGGGTGAAAATATGTTGTGAAAGGGAGGGAGGGCCGAGGGCCCAAGTATTTCATCCCCATCCCAGGGAAGAATCAGACTGCGCACAGAGTGGGGAGTGGGCATAGAAGGTACCAGAAAACAATTCCTTATTTGCAACTGTTGCACCTGTCTTGTTTCCATCTATGCTCCCCCTTTTCCTACTACTCTGGCCCCAACAGCCTTCATCATGTTGCTATCTCTCTTTTAAGCTGCTTTCCCCTGGGGCTGGCAGGTGGCGTAGTGGTTAAGGCACTGGACTCCCACGATTTGAGTCTTGGACCCAAAAATCACACCAGGTACGTATGTGTGCATGCCCAAATCCTGAGAGAAGGGGTCATGGCACGGCCATCTCTGGGGGATGATTTCTCACTTTCCCTTTCTCTGGTGAGCACACAAGCCCTATGGCAAAAACCCAAGCCCCCCCCCTCCAAAAAATGCTTCTCCCTCTCACCTTTGCTTCAATTCCAACCCAATGTTCAGAAAGCCTTTCCCTGACCACACCCATAACTAGGAGGGAACTCTGGGCCTTGCTGCTGGACAATCCCAGCCCTCCACCCACGCTAACCTTGTTTGTATGAATATGTGTCTGCCCAGCCCTAGCACACCAGAGGGTCAGGCAGCCTGACCGCCCCCAGAGCCCTAGCGAAGGGAGACAAAGGTACCCGGAACACCATGTGTCCGGCCAAGATTCATCCGGCCAAGATTCAGAAGCGATCCCAGAAGGACGCCCACCACTCAGAAAAATACAGAGGTTGGGGCTCCTTGGGCCGTGGGTGGTCAAGTCAGTCCCTTCGGAGGAAGCTGCCTGGGAGGGTGGGGCCGTCCCTCTGCCCGGGGAGTGGGGGGCTACAGGGGTCGGCAGTTGTCACAGGGGTGTCCATGAGGGACGATGGGCCCGTAGGGGAGCTGTCTGCTTGCTGCCTGGTTCCGTCTGTGTCCACCTGTCCTCGCGTCCTGTCCTGTCCTGCGTCTCCCCATTCATGTTCGCTGGCAATGCCTCTTTACTCTCACGTCCCCCGCTCCCGCCTTCTGCCACACCCCTGCAGCTGAGCCCCCAAACCCGCGTGGTGCTGCCCCTGACCTGCCCCCCGCCCACAGGCCGCAGCTACTGGACCACGGAGCGCTACGGCGAGGTGCGGC